AGCAAAAAAAAAAAAATATATCTGAATTTTTTTGCAAAGAAACACATTTTGAACCCTGGGGAATTCAACGGGGGTCCAAACATGGTGAAAATGCTTTCCATAGTCCCAGCGGTCATTTCAGAACAAAACAATTTTGACCCACACAGGGCCTGACAGATATAAAAATCACCCTGGGAGCCATATGCAGCCCATGGCCTGCACTTTGGGCACTCTGGTGTGTGTGTGTATGTGTGTATGTATACATACATACATACATACATACACACACACACATTTACATACACATATCAAAGTAGAAAACTCCAGTCTCCAACATGAGAGCTCCCACCCCCACCCCATTCCATTGATATTTCCATGAAAATTCACTCTTTGGATGCGACAACACACCATGCACTGTCAGAGGACAAACACATGTGTCTTTACTTTCTGCCACACGGTGTAATCCTTTGGTACGACAACCTCCTTCTGCCAGCATTAATCACTGCTCTAAAAGCACAGAGGCTGAAAGCCTTGGCATCCGGTTATTAACAGCTGCATTAACGTGGGCCCAGCTCAAGCTGCACTGAGCTATCTTCTTTTATGTAAAAAGCGCAAGGCACAAAACAACATTTAAGCACCAAAATTCACATTTGATTACAAAATGAAAAGGAAAGGAAAAAAGACGGAGCGCGTGGGTGGAAATACAGTATGGTGCACTAGGACGGACACAGCTGAACTTACTTAATACCTCCTCAGTAATAACCTTCTCTGAACCCATTTTTAATGTATGTACTCCCCCCCCCCTTCTCTCTGTATCTGGCTGCAGATATTGCTGCAAACTATTGCTGTGAAAAAAGGCAGTCTAGCCTCTTAAGCATCTAGAAAATAAAGCTGGGAATTTCCTCCCTGTTTCTTCCTAGCTGTTAAAGCCAAGATTCTACATCAAAGAGACAGAGTGTAACTTTGTACTAGGTATAGAAATAATAGGCATTATTTGTCATTCCCAGGTTGAAAAATGTGGCTCCTAGAAGTTGGGAAACCCTGTTGGGAAGAATAATAGACTAACAAGAATTTTGCACAATTTCCTCCCAGTAGTCAAATATTCCAAAATATCGTGGAGGAATTATTCTGCACACCAAAACATTGTCTTCTGCATAAAGCTCTCATTTTCTTTTCAGGCATCATCACTCTTTGGCAGAGAAGGCTAAAGACATAGTAACTCTAAAATACCCAGAATTTCATAGGATGGAACCACAGCAATTAAAGCGGTGTCAAACTGCATTATTTCAATTGTGTAGAAGCACCAAGTGTTCATTGCATAGCAATGTTCACTGCAACAATGTTCAGTTGCAGTGTTCATGCAACAATGGCACTTGGGCACAAAAGAGCAAACTTTGCTCAAATAATCTGAAGATACATGTAGTTTTTATGCCAGAAGATGGCAACAGTTGTGGTTATAGAGGAAATTAATTTCATACACCATGCAAATATAACCTTTGGAAAACTAACTAGATATCAACACAGCCTTACAGCTGACTTCATTAACTCTGTGCCCTTCCCCTTGTGTCTAAAGCTGAAGGACTATGTGCTGATAAGAAGACTCTCACTGGTTTATCAATGTGGCTGATGGGCATATGCTAATGCCTAAAGTGGCGGGTGGCCTTTGCAATGGGGCTTTGATGGGATAAAGGCATCAAAGTGTGTCAGATCATGATCCACTGACTGAGCTGACTGGCTTCATATCAAGCAGTGGCAAAAGCCGAAATCAGCAAATAAGCAGCCTATGACTTGAGCAATTTTAAAGCCAACCTCAGAACTAAAAGTAGGGATGAAATATAAAGATTGATGTCCTCCTGTGTGGTGGCATAACAGAAATCTCTGCATGTGGACCCACACATTTATTTTGCAAGGCAACTCCTGTGTTGAGTGGCAGTGTTGCACAACTGACTATGGACCCAAATAGGCTACTGATGGTATGACCAGATGTGCATGCCTTCTGTATGTACAATAATAATAAAATAATAATAATTTTTATTTATATCCCA